TCCGATGACAATCACAAATATAAAGAACACCGTGGATAAGTAAAACATTCGATGTACCTGAAAAATATACGAATTTAATTAATGTATTTAAAGTATTCACCGCCGTGTTTATTAATATTATAAGACTTAAGATGCGTATATAATTTGCATACTGAAATAAAAATATTCACTTACTGGATGGCACCAAAAAGCGTAATAAATTCCTGATAAGTAGATACCCAACAAGCTCAACGCTATGCCGAACAAGTCAAAAGATAAAAAACAGTTGAAATGTTTCTCGGATTTGCATGAAAACGTGTGGTACATTGTCGATGATGCCATGCTGATCTAAAAATACGATAAAAACAATATAGRTAAGTAAATATTATTCAAATTAAACACGTGTCACGTGTGTCACAAAACAGTAATAGGTAATACAAACAATTTTAGGTACTATAACTACAGTGAAAACTCTCTATAACGAATCTGAAGGGACCATGTGATTTCTTTCATTATTGAGAGTTTTTTTTAATAGAGAGTAATTAATAGGTTTTAAATCAAACCAACCATTATAATTTATAAGTTAACTTAATGTTATTTACGCAATATAGACAATATAGAGTTTTTCGTTATAACGAATTTCGTTATAAAGAGTTTTCACTGTATATGGTTTTTAAATTCAGTGATTTTAATAATATTTTAAATGAAACTAAATTCAATAAACGAAAGACTGCAAAAGATATTATACAGTAAATTAAAAGTATTTTTTCTACAGCTTTCACGAGAGACTGTGAGGTTACTCAGCTACTCGATACATAATATAATTCACACGGTCACTAGAGCTGTTTAAATCAAAAACATCGCCTTATTATTTTATTTACTATGATAGATGATAGATAATTKATAGTTGGTATTCGAGATTAGTAGATTACCAATAATAATTATCGGTTGTCAYGATTGTCATTACCAAAATGTTGTTATGATGGAATCATGAAAAGTAGTCAGAGATAACCAACAAGTAAGTATTATATTAAATAATTTTTTCTATTGTACAGGGAAACTTCCATAACACGAAATTTCATTAAACAACATTTTCTACTCAACGAAATACTTTTAAGGACCAAAACAAATTTAATTCCATTTAACAATATTCTCTATGGTACAATTTGTTTTTATTGCCCATAAGAGTTTCGTAATATACCAACATAAAAGTTTCACTGTGTTCAAATGATTTTTTGAATACCGTTTTATTCAAATTATAATTCTCTACTCTGGTTGTAATTTTTTAAATACCTGGAAACATCCGAGTAGTAGACCCACAACAAGCTTATCAAACTGTGAAGCGTGAATATTTAACAGGAACAAGTCATAAATTGTTAAACCAAAAAACAGCATCCAGCCAAATACATGTGACCAAATATTTATGGTTTCATTCGTCAGCCAAAAAGCGCTAAAACAGAAAGATTAGCATTAACAATTAGCATTTAATCTTTTTTTTTTATTGTTATTAATTTAACCAATAAAATATAAATCAATTCAAAAATACATTTGAAAATCTGTCCTTGTGGATCCGTTAATGCATTGTTATCACTATTTATTTTTTTAGTATGGATGACTATACCTTTTTTTATAAAAATTAAGCAGCTAATCTGTTTTTTTTTTATTATGATCACAACTAAATTAATATCCGCCGTTGATAGAAGAAGCATCATCATTTAAAACGACACGAGGTAATGAAAGTCATTGTCATTTTTTATTGACAATTTCAATGATCAGCACCTTGTCAAAAACTACATCGAAGGTTAAAATAAGTATTCTCAAATTAAATATTTATAATATTATACTTGTATAAAATATTATACATAATTATATCTTTATCGAAAATTGTTGGTAAATTGTGTTATAGTATTTTTTTTTAATAATTAAATTATTCAAACTAAATCGTTTTTAATTATAGACCACTAAAATGTTAAGTCCTTAAAAGTTCAAGAATTGTAAAAGAAAATGTGTTTTAAAATTATTTTATTGTACTAAAATATAAAATATAAGCTTCTAATTATTTCAAAAAAAAAAAAA